AATCAGACGCACCATCTGTAGGCTACTAAAAATATCAGGAACTTCCCACCAATCGTTCACGTTTCTGAAATTATTGTGGCTATTTCCAAACTCTCCGTATGCTGAAGAACTCCTATCCATGTGTCACCGTTGGGCATCGGACTTTGGCTGTGCTCATTCGTCCGGTCGGTCGTAGTTTCCCGCGCTGTGGACCGGATTACTTGGCCGTGTCACGATACACCTCCACGTCTTTGTTCGACGCATTCGATCGTAGTACATTATTCCAGATAGGCCAGCTTTTCTGTACCTACACCATCCGTTTGTTGGACAACTTCCGGATATACTTCACGGACCCAGTATAATTGGATACCTCATCAACCACGACTCCGATTGTTCACCACGCCCTTCCTGCAATGGTGCTCGTCAGGATGTTAATGACGTGATATATCAAATTCTTTTTATCGTTTCCATTTGTAACTTGTTCCGTACAGCTACGTGTGTATGCACACCAGACACTCTGAAGAACCCGAACGACTCCAAAAGATGTTGAGGTTGGCTAAATATCTTGAGGTGTTCATAAGAAACAAATCAGAGCGAGAACCAGAATAACCAGGTTAGAAAAGCGATGATATATAACAGTAAAAAAGGTTCAGTTTGCTGAACAAGGAAATAGAGTTGATCATGCGGAAAAATCCGCCTTCACTTGCAAGGGTGCATCCGCGAACAACACAAAAAGCCAAAGCAGTTCCGTCCATTAGTCATTGTACTTACCAAGTCACTTGCATCTGCGGTGAAATTCATATGGCTTAAACTAATAAGACCTTTCTATGATAAAACATAACAGAAACCCAACTTCTATTCCACCTTCAGCAAAGGTCACTTCACAGAATCACAGACAAAGCACGAGATGATTTCCAACCAGCTTACCACGTAATTATCACATGCAATCGAACGGAAAGTCTGACGACATTGCACTACCAGACGCACAACTAGACACTGCTGCGTGCGTCGATAGATTGACAGTCGACCTTGTAACTGTCATGGACTTATCGAACCAATTACGTTTCATGCTACCCAGTTCAGTTACATTGCATTGCACTATAATCGCTGTGTTTACACCTGCGTCTTGTTTCGCGAAGCCTACTGCTAAAATTAGTGTTGTAGATGCAGCATGAGGAGGCAGCGCTAGACAGTGATTTTTCGGTTCCACTGGGCTATTTTGGTTGTATGAGCGTTGAAGAAAGTTTATGGTAAGTCGACCAAGGTGGAAGCTTGCTGGGGATTTCTTGGTACTGATTCTCAGCAATCTACATGCAGTCCACCCGAACGTACAGTAGAGGTCGCACACGACGATTGAAGCTGATATCCATCTGATCCGAACAACCTACATGGATAGTTTTTTTTCATAAGGAACAAAGAGAACCTGGACAATCATTTTTTCAAAACCAAACATGGTCATCTGCATACTTATACAGCAATACATCAGCACTCTATCGTATACTCCACTAGACATTCCACTGTTAGTATTATGGAACTTAATTCGACAACCTAACGTCAAAAACGTTGGTTCTCGCTTGTCCATTACCGACTTGAAGTCACGTCCTCTGAAACAAACAATACATAGCCTTCGAGAAGTACACTCATTTGCAAATCAACTTGGTTTTCACGAGAGCCCCAACTCAAATCGATTTTCAAATGAGTGTATTTCTCGAAAACAGTCCAATTTGGGTTCAAGTAGATCATAAGGTTAACGGAAACTCAGGAGCTGCGCCTACCTGATGAGCCCCAAGAAGGGCGAAACCGGTCGTGAGCTGTCGAAGAGTTTTCGGCAACCTTGTGAGTAGTTTCCTTTATGAAAATACATAGCCTTGTTCAATCAAGTGAAAAATACTTGGAACCGATTGGGAAGTCATCGTTTTTGAAGAAAAGTTTGCCGACAACCGGTAGATTTTTTGCTGGACAACGTTTCGCTTTTGACATGAAAGCTTCGTCAGGCCAAGTGAATAGGTTCCGGGGTTGGTCGAGGTTTAAGTCAAACTGATTCTCTGTTGGGTGTCGGCCGAAGGATTTTAGTTTGTTAGAGTGGTTGAACAAGTGTTGTGTCGGTGGGAAAGCCCACATTTGTTTGGGTTTAGCTTAGGGTCTAGTTCTTCTGGTTCGGTTCGTTTGATGGTCCCCCTTGAACGTCGTTTGAACCTTCTGTCCGTCAGTGTGGATGAGCTGGTGCTAAGATAGTCGTGTATATGGGGGACAGAATAGCCTTGGCCGGCAATATTGTCCACCCAAAGTTTTTTGGTATTATGTTGACGACACTTTTGTTGTAATCAAACGAGATAACCTGAACAGCTTCCACGACTCTCAATAGTTTGAACCCACACATCAAGTTTAGCATGGAAATAGTCCACCTAGGGCACATTACTCTTTCTGGACCGTATAACAATATTGGCGGGAAATCAAAAACTACTATCTACCAGAGACCGATAGACACAGGAACCGTCAATCCACGTAGAATCATTAAGCTAAATCCGGGAGGTGGGGGTGGAAATCCCAATCTGACCAAAGGTCACAGCATCCCTCCTACACAACTATCTTAGCACTAGCTCACGCACACAGACTGACAAAAGGTTCAAACGACGTTCAAGGGGGACCATCAAATGAACTGAACCAGAAGAACTAGACCCTAGGCTGGACCCGAACAAATGTGGGTTTCCCCACCGACCCAACGCTTGTTCAACCACTCTAACACACTAAAATCCTTCGGCCGACACCCAACAGAGATTTAGTTTGACTTGGATGATTGGTTCCCTTCCGCTTTAAATCCCGGCCAACCCCGGAACCTATTCACTTGGCCTGACGAAGCTTTTGTGTCAAAAGCGAAACATTACCCAGCAAAAAATCAACCGATTGTCACCAAACTTTTTCAAAAGAAATATATAGCCTTGTTTCAGTTTCAATTCATCATTTGTTCGCCTCTGATAATGCCAAAGGTAGTGATGTTGGGCGCACAAAATGAAGTACTGCGCATGACAGCGGTGACGACTTTGTTGTGGAGCCCATGGAGTAATCGGTATAACGAGTACGTGGAATATTGTAATTTATCACATCTCCTCAGACATACAGCCTATTTCACATGGGTGATATTGATCCAGTCATGCATGAAAGCCTCGCACAGACCGAACTTAACATGTACAGTAGACATAACAAGATGTGTGAAACTAGGGGCCGTCGTTGCGAATTATGAAAGAACACCTGTTAGTCTTCAATCTGTTGTCACGTTTCGTTACTGTACTGTTTACTTTGGGATCAGTTGCAATGCGTGGGCCAGCTGGCCACTACTTCCAGAGCTGCGTGCAGGCAGATAAGTGAAACAAGCACAAATCTACACTCAGCCGCGTGCGAAGTGTCCCCTCGTGCCAAGAGAGCTTCCGGAATGTCCTAAATATGGTGCGTCGAAACTGGTAATGTCCATTAGGTAAACAAGACGTCTACATACTCCGAGCGCCAATTATTTCCCGTGCAAGACCACCTGTTCGGTGAAAGGCGAATGATCAAACATTTCACCTGTACTTCTCTTGCTGCCGCGTGGGCGTTGAATGAGTGTGCTTATAGGAAGCTTACAGATATGTGCTTGACGAAAACCTAGAGGCTCGGTTCATTTGGTACCGCACTTGCTCTCATTTCTCATGTATTTCAATCGTCTTTTGTGAACTGTCGAATAACCCATATCAGTTCTGAAGAGCAGAGTTTGTTAGAAATCACTTGCATACTCGTGCTCCTGATCGGATAGAAAACACAGTACTGGGTGAATTGTGATGGAACGAAGGTAATCTGCGTAATGCGCGTCGTACCGTGTGCAATTAATACCTTCTCAGGTCTGCCACGTATTATCCACGATAAAACCCCGAACACGGTATTTCCGATTCCGTGCCACAGCTTGACTCGCTGAGCGTCACTTGATGCGTGACTCCCGAGACAGTACCCAACAGTGTGATACCGCTCTCGGCAGTCTACCGAGCTGCACCGCTTTTATAACCTTACCAAAGAACGAGTGATCGGCGGTTACTGATTGATACGCTGCTTAGTGTGGTGTCTTGTCATGTTCCGTATGTGCGAGCTTCGCGTACATTCATTGAACGCATGGATAGCCAGCCGCTCCCGGGGAGATTGAGATTCGTAAATGCGAGCGGACGTGAGACTTTGCAGTAAATCTGCAGGCCCCCTGCGCTTGATACGGAGAGGTGTTTGTTTAGATTTCGAGTCAGCTAAAAACCTTACCGAGAGATATTTTGTTTTCAATCGGTGCCGAGACACGCTCTTACGATTTGGGGTCAGTATATTTTGAATTTGAGGCAGCGCGGTTGTCCGAGCAAGCTAGTGACGGGAAATTTTGGGGTCCGAGCATTATCCTGGATGTTCAAAATACAAGACCCTAATCAATACCACCTGTTCCATCAGTCGAGGGGATGATATTCTTAGTAGAGTCCACGGGGATCACTCTGGGCGAGCTCGGTACAAGGTCCAACCCAAGGGAACGACTACTCCAGCGTGTTCATTCGCGGGCGAACTCAACCAATTCTAGTAAGGTATCGCAGCCATCCTTTTGTACTAGGTTGATTCAGTTGCCTACAACTTATTTTCAGGATTTCAGCGGCCCACACTATAGACATCCCAGTAACCAGCTTTTCTACACCACAGACTTTAGCGGCAAAATCAATAGCCAGTTAAGTTCACCTCACTCACAGTCGTCCTTTGGGTCAACATCGTGATTCTCCCCCAAATACCTCACATGTGGATAAAGTAAATCAGTTTCGAGCAGGTGACCACTGAGAACAGCTTGAGGAAAGCTATCCAGACTTCTCTAGGCTCTATGTATAAAGGCGAGTTGCGTATCCGAGCGCTAGTCACGTGTGCTCGGTATATATAACCGATACACACTGAGACGCCCAATTAATTTGGTTCCTTGGACATTTCATAGAAATTATCAAGTCTGTAAGACCTAAAGCGGGTTTCCGAAAAGATTTATCGAGTTTCGGTATCAAATGACAGCTCAAATAAGCCCGAAAGAAGTATCGATGGGTGTGCCGACGATTCGATCCGCGGGTGTGATAAAAGATTGCCCAGCACAGACGAAAAAGAACAGGTGACGGGATAACCGAATGTAAAGCGAAGGGGAACACAGAATAGCTCAGGGAGATGGAAGAACGACTGCGACTAAGATCGTATGCACTGAACTGTTTTCTGTGAAATTATATGACCGAAATCCAACAGTGGCACGGAGGACTCCAGGAACAATCATGTTTCCGAAATCGTTTACAGGGTGACCACTATGGTTCTCACAAACATTTTTCCAGAACAATATTCCCGCAGGCCAGATGTGCACAGATTCCCGACGCTCGTCGTTTCGATGACACTCCGAATTAGTGTAAGCACCCAAGGTATCCGCGACAAACTTGTGCTTGCACAAGTTTGTTTAACTTCACGCACCTGATGTAGCTAACGGATTCGCCCGAATTTCCTCGAGAAAAACAGCGATTGTGATACCTTTATCGTCTTCATGGCAAAAACAACCAACTTGTGTAGGTACAATAATGGACGCACGGATGGAGTCGCGAAAATTCCGTCGGTCGTAGTGTCCCATGTGCTTGCGCAGTGTTGTGATCGGTTGCCTCCAGTTAACCATGAGGCAAATGAAAATACCGGGAGACGATAACACATGATAACTTCAAACGGTGGACTCGAATGAATGTAACTGTTGGTCGATAGAGTTTATGTACATTGCGTTGATGAAAAAAGACGGGAATTCAGCATCGCAAATTTGCCAAACAGTCGGTTAACCACCGGGTGCTCTGATTCATGTCTCCAAATACCAAGTGGAAGGAATCAGTGGTGAGGTTTAGTGAAAGATTATGGTCACCTTGACAACACTCGTTAGATGCACGGTCTCCATGCGGTTGAATTTATCAGACCGGGGACAATGGCGTCACGACGAATGCCCCAGAAGCGCCGAGGACGTAGTTCGTCTTTCACAGCATTGAACAACCAACCAAGGTGGTGCGAACAGCTGGTGCAATTCGCGATTGTCCAACTGTAGCTAACGGAGCGAGAAAAAAATTGGAATAAACGAAGCAGGTCGGTTGGATACAGTATAAACGGTTTCAAGTGATTGTTATCCTAACAAGCTGTTGCCATTTTGGGACAGTCAGTCACTTGACTAACGGCTAGTTGTTTCACCTCAGTAGTCCTGGGAACCCTTGCATGACTAAACAACTACACAGGCTTAAATATAGTAGTAACGATCGTTTAGTGCCTAGCTGCAATGCCACCCGAAGGAAGCACAAGGGCTAGGATAATGCCAGGCTGCCCAAGACTAGACAGGAGAAGTTGAGATGCGGACTTGGAAAATCAACAACCTGGTAATAAATAGGTTTTTTGTAGAGATAAATGACTACTCAGACAAAATATCTTGACCATTTATCAGACAACCTAGAATCAAATTCACTGGTTGCGTAAACTGGTCTGTGGCCGTATGGCCCGGAGGTTGACTACCTTAAGCTGTTGAACAAAAGGTTTGTTACCCGGCAAAATGAATCCCAAAATGGACGAAAACGCTCGTATCTGGCTGAGCACTCCCACATCTAGTTAACACCGATGGAAACGTTAAGTTTATACTCTAAACCCTAATGCGTCAACCTAGAAAATGTCAGGACTGGTGATGCACACAAATAACTGGTGACGAAAAGACTAACTAAGCGTGATGCCACCAGAAGGAAGCACGGAGGATGGGATACTGTCAGATTGCCCAAGCCTGGATAGGGAAAGTTGAGAGGCAGAGGTCGGGTTCGAATCACGGACCTTCCGGTCAGTAGATCCGCGCTCTAACCACTTGAGCCTTCTCTCCCAATAAAGGAAGGTTATCCCATAGTTATTGTTGGCGGTACTACACGAGTTGGGAAATCAAATGAAAAAACTGGAAGTCGATATATATGCAACGGAAACCACCTCAAATGTGATATTCAGAGATCCTTTTTGCATGGACATTTAAAACGTTCGCAATTAGTGAAGGGCAGTCAGTATCTTGAGGCAAATTCATAGGACAAGTAAGCTTGCTCAGTGACTTTAAATATCAACAGCTGTACACAGTGCCTATAGGTGCCACAGCGTCGTTGGCCAGTGATCTGGGAAAAGAGAGATCGGCAGCTACGCGGTGAAAGCAGCACCCCATACCGTTGACGCCTGAACTGGAGTGGATGTACGCATAGAAGACAACAGCTTGGCTTACGAACCACTAAGTGTATAACTAAGCCACGTCTACCAATGTATCTGACCATTGATGTGTCTCACTGTTCTCATCCAGAGAGATCATCGCTGTTGAATTTAATTGATAACGGCTTTCAGGCGGATACAAACCATTCAGTTTTAGTGCCGTCTTGCGCTTTGAGGAGAATATTTCGTACCTTATTCCTTATTCTGATAGGTAATCAAGGTTTCCATCTGATTCAAACGCACGCAGTATCTCCAAGGACTATGTTGCAACCGGCTAGCCAAACTGTTCTTCAGAGTTCAAGGGTCGTCTCTTCAATCGGCGGTTTTCCGAATGAATAGCCTAACCGACTTGTCCACTTATTTTTTTCACTAGCAGTCAATCGGATCGGGCGGTATGGGACTGTTTCTGGTCAAAAAGACCACTGTCCACTGAAGGTTTCCGCATTTCCTTATACTCTTCACCATTTGGCGTTTGTGGATGCCATCGTGCTCGTTGCCTGACGGCACAGATTTTCTAACATCAACCAAGACTAGCGATCTCGAAGATATCCAATGATCATTTTACCGTATCAGGGAAGTTGGATTGGAAGGTTCGGAAGCCCCGTTTATATTTTTCCAGGCTTCCTGTTCGTTGTGTCATTTCACTGCGGAGAGTAGTTAAGCCTGTACACATCGATACTACAGATCTCCGAAGATGGTGGATTGACATGCTTCTTGCTGACTTGCAAGGAACTAGCAGTTTGGCGTGAACTAAATTAAGTCGTGACTTAGCGGTTTACGGTAGTCTTGAGTTGTGGCTCTCCACCGATAGCTGATAGCCACGTGATCAAAATGGGTTCAGGATGGATTTGCACATGGTGGGCGCTAGGATACACGGTGCGAGAAAGAAACAGTTGATTATCAGCCCACAAATGGAGGAGCCCTTTTCTGACGACAATATGGCGGAAATATGATTGGGAAAGACATCGATAGACAAAGAACTGTGCAAGCAAATGATACTTCCCGGTTTTCCAGTCAGGAGAACAGGTTCAGTTGAGGTAGCCCATCTTGCGCCTTTTACCGAAAATTCTCATAAGGCAACAGGATGTAGGGTTTTCTTCGAGAACCCCAACCTCAGTCAATAACTCAGTAGTATGCGCTGCTCGGTTGTAGGGTGTTCGTCTAACCCGAGGAACAAGGCATACACGCCGCAGTCCTGACGCTACGATGCGCAGCAGGAGTCGCATCAAACTAGTAGACGGAACTTATTTACAGAATCATGGTGCGTTGTGCACTAGGAAGTAGCCTTGATAGCGAGCATCTATTGAGTCAGGCCAGTGTGCAGTAAACCAACAACCCGAAGATCAAAGCGATGAAAGCTACAATCCCGTAAAATACCTAAAATAGGGAAAGCAAAATAGAAAAAACATGAAATCTACCTTCAACCCATATACGCAAAGTCCTAGTAAACTGGAAGGTGGATTTCCGCTGTTTCCAATCACGTCCGAAAATTAACATGAATAGACAAAATCAATAGCACTAAGTTTATCAAAACCGGAAAAGTTTTTATCCAAAAAATAGACCGGCTTCATGCTTTACTGTTCATTTTTGGCAAGATTTTCTACTACCGGTCAAGGTAACGTTCGAAGGAAAATTCACCGTAGTCTTCACTACGGTGGATGAAGCATGAGAGTAGTATGTGGTTTCCTCATAAGTTCGCTTCGCGTCCATTGAAATGTGGGATTTATTACAGTCGTTCAGCTGTAGCGCCCTTTCGGTGCCTAGCTACCATGCCACCCAAAGGAAGCACGAGGGCTGGGATACTGCCAGGTTGCCCAAGCCGAAGTCGAGAGGCAGAGGTCGGGTTCGAACCACGGACCTTCCGGTCAGTAAATTCGCGCTCCAACACCTTGAGCCATCTCGCTCCCGGGCCAGATGGCCCAAGTGGTTAGATTGCGAGGAAAACAATATCAGTGACTCCTACGGATTTATTACGGAATTTGTGGAATCGACTTGTAGCATTCATTTACGTTTGAGTGATAGTCAATGAGTATTCAGGAAAGTTCAGAAAGATCTGTTCAAGAAGACGGATACACAGTTTTTGTAAACAAGATGCAAAAGAGAGTTTTGCTTCTCTGTCCAATATTCTGCAACCGTTCGTTTGATGTTTTCCGGTGAATAACTCCGCGGCGAAGTTCTTCTTCCTTTCGCCCGTATTCACCGTCTCAATGTGTGGGGCTAAAATATTCAAGGATCTTAACCCTAGGGGAAACCTACGGGGCTGCTGACGTTGTCGTATGAGAATAGTTTAACATCAAGCCAGAGCCCCACCCACCACACGAGGACAGGCTGTAGAAAAGAAGATGAATGTATAAGCAACGTAAACACTATCTGGTCGTGCCAGCGAGTGCACCAAGGGAGCAGCATGGTGCAATTTCATGCCTGGGCTAGGTTACTAACGGAGTTAGCAGTAGCATGACAAAATACCAATTCTGAGACGAGCGGTAGGAGGCCAAAATCCGTCCTGGTGAAACTATGGAGAACATTAGGTATTTTGAATACAAATTCCAAGTAGAAGACCTAGAAGAACACTTAAATATCAGGGTGATTCATGTGGTGTACTAGCACCAGGGCCCCCAGCTTCCCATTCTGAGGTTTCGCTCTAACTTTCATTGTTTCGAGGTTAATATTTCGTATGCATCGATCGGCTTGGAATTTCCAGACTTCTCAAGCACGAAAGAAAACTCACTACCTGAGTCTGGTCGCACAACAGTTGCGTTGGTGCTCTCATATGCATCTTGTTTGCAAAAACTGAACATTCACCTTCTGTTAAACGGGTCTTCCTGAACATTCCTGGATATTCATTGATTGTCGCTCAAATCTAAGCGAACGCTACACAGTGACTCCACAAGCTGCGCAACAGATCTCACTTTTCAAGAGGCGCGAAGCAGATTTACGAGAAAACATGCTACTCGCATCCCTCAATCAGTAGTGTCACCATCGCACTGGTACTTTCAATGACATAAATAGATACACTTCCAGCGTCTCAATGTAGAACGCAGGTAGGCAGATCCAAACGAGTTAAGGACCATGCAATAATCCCAGTCAAATAGCCAAAAATGTCTGCAATGTGATGACCAGGTTGAAAAATGTTTGAAAAAAAGAATACGCAATGTTCGGAACTTGCTGATACACTGAATGGTGATGGGCAATCGAAATAGTACGGGACAGGACAGTACGCCAATAGACCTGAAGTAGAAGGCGTTTCAGAGCCCACACTGCTTTCTTCTGAAAGGGCTTAGAAGAGTATTTCCTGGATAGAGATCAGAAAGGCAAGTCCAATATGTGGTTATATCGGACATAAAAAGCTGTTTCTGATGGTGAAATAAGTGGTTGTGTTTTTGAGAATTACACTCACTTGCAAATCAATTTGGTTTGTGTTTTTCTCTAACTGTAACACACATGGGAAGTTTGCTATAGAGAAGACCACGTGGGAAGTTTACTTGCAAATCGGTTTGTGTTTTTCTCTAACTGTAACACACATGGGAAGTTTGCTATAGAGAAGACCACGTGGGAAGTTTATGCACTGAATGGTATGATTAGCCTGTGGAGTCTCCGGACAGCAAGCTGGAGATCGGATTTAACCCTACTGGAAGGTAGTTCAGGCACTACAGCAATCATGGCTTGATTATGCCTCAGTTGCAGTGTTTCCTCATCTGGTCGATTAGCTGTGCGTTCCAGAATGGGACCTTAGATGCAAATGCACCCTGCCTACTTAATTTTTAGATAATAAGCGGAAATGTGTGATTGAAACATGCCTCAGATTCAGTGTGATCTACAGCTAATGCCCATATGGAACTTCAGTCTCACCATCCATACGTCATATTGTATGCAATGAACTGAACGCATGATTGGTAAACCGATTTTATCTTGTACTGTAATGCAGTGGGAATCGTATGCGGTGCATCCTTCTATTTGGCCCACAAGTAACAGTTAAGCTGACTACCACGTATTCTACTTCTCTACAATAAAAAATAAGCCTCATTATTTTCACCTATTCCTGTTCAAGAGTGACAGCCCTACGCCACCATAAAGCTCTGCTAGGTTTTTTTGTGAAGTAGACAAACGCATCACACCGAACATGATCACAATTCGTAGGGTTTATTCGTGAGCTTACCCAGGAAACCAAGAGTACTCCTCAGACGGTGACCCAACTAAGGAGACTGAGTTGTGAGTGACTTGACTGACAGTGACGATATCATGCAACACACCAGCCGGATTGACATAAGTTTGGAAGCTTCCTTCCTGAGCCAGGCAAATGATATGTCGACTGGATGTAATATTGCAGTCACAAAGAACACAGACGCAAGCAGCAGACTGAAAAAAGAAACCAAAAAGAAGGGCATCCAGTTCTATACAAACGAACACACAAAAAACAAATATAATAGTGTCGGGTTTTGATGGTTAGCATCGAAACGTCAAATAAAATGTGCCTCTTAGTGTCACCCAAAGCAACATATTGGCTGGAAATTGTGACAAACGTAAGACGCAATGAACCTCGTCAAAGTGAAGCAATGAAAGACTACAACTGCATGAGCCGGAGGCAGATCACAGTTGCAGGTAACACAAGCTGTCGAGAGCGATATCGGTGACGAGTGGGAAGCCGTTTAGCTGTCACCTGGAGACTCGGCTGCATCGTCCGTACGATCTCAATCTGGAGTTCGCTTCTCGAGCAGTTGTATCTCCAAGTGGCTAACCATTCTTGAAAGGTGGAACAGGAATTGACCACCTATGAGTGGACAGCAAGGCTAGCCAAGGGCTGCCAGTTTCGTGGCTGATGGATCATGATGAAAACAGGACTAAGTCAAAATGGCAGCTCCGCTGAAATTTCAAAATCTCTCCATGCTACCAAAACAGCACAACATTGTGCCCACTGAGAATAATGGATGCACTATTTGGGTCACACCGGGGCATTCAATCACTTCGTGGGAGGTACGTGTATCCAGCGGAAACTGCCATTCACTACATTTCCGTTTAACTCTACGGGAGACTAGAAAGGAAGGTGCTTTCCCCATCTCACCGCATTATTCTAAGTGATCATGCAGCGCTTCACTTGGAAACCATATCTTGTGATTTCCGCGCCAAACATTGCCTTACACTTTTGGATGACGCATTGACCCTAGCAACAACTCACGCGGTATGACTGTACTCACCTGCTATTGACTTGCAGATACTTTCTAAATACCTAAACTCATGTGCTGGACCCCAAATGGGGAGTCACGCAATACGATCACCAATTTAGTGTGAGGAGACTACGGTACGAACTCCCGTTAACCGCGTAAAATATCTCTAGTCACTGACAGTATCAAGGAAGAATTATTCGACTCACTTCAACATGTGAAAACAAAACGGTCATTCCTCGGAAGAAGAAGCTAACATGAAACGTAGTCCGTCGGAATCAATAAAGCAATTACGAGCTTGCCAAGTCTAACATCTACCAGAGAAAATCCTATTGTCCTTTTGGTTTAAGTATTCCATAGCGTGGCAATCTGAAATGAAAGCGGGTGCTTTCAATCAGGGCATCGTGGGACATTCGAGACTATCTTGCTGACATCCACGTGAGTTTTGCAGCAAGTAGCCGGAAACGTAGTAAGATACGTCAGGTGAGCATTCCCAGAGGTTAGTAAGGTGTCCCTTATTGCCAGAATCACCTACAGTTAGCGCTTTTGTTCCGAACATTGTGTTGTACAATACTCAGAAATACCGTGGTTAGAAAGAAACTCAGTGAAGCAGTCCTGCTAATGACGTCTTGCTTCGGACGTTCATCTCAATCTCTTTGAAATGCATGGGTATCTACCGCTTGGTCGTTGAACATTTTACATTTCTTGATTGTTGATTGGTGCATTCCGTGGTCACGGCTGCATTGCAAGTAAGCACCAATATTCGTTCATATCTCGAAGAAGATGAATACTGAAAAAAGCAAACGATATTCACCGTCCCTTCGTAACGAACCACCCTCCGTAGGTTTAAGGGGTATGCCTACTGCGGTGGCACCGAATTGTTATCCCACACGAAGCCATCACGTACAAGCAAGTACGCTAACATGACCTGTTTATTATTCAGCTGGAAATGCCATTGGAATATCAAACATAACAGAACAAAGCCAAATGAATCTATGCAACTCACGCGTCGAATGACATCCAACAGAGCTCGCAATCGTGGAACCACATGATTTATACTCAGGATATGGGCTTTCAGTGGACCAGGCATCGGCAAATTTTGTACCAACCAATAAGAGAACGGAACAGCTAAATCCGGTCGAAAATGATCCACTACCCACGTATCGTTCCAATTAACCAGTTCTGTTTGAATCGCAGCCACCAAATAGCTCTGTTGAGTTTTCAAAAAACGATTAAAATTATGACGCAAAAGCATCTATTTCACGCTGTTACGTCCAGAAATTGCAAACATTTAAACCAGAATTCCAATAGAAAGGAACATTGAATGACGTGAAACACGCACATGAGATTTACGAACCCTGGTAGAATAAACTAGGCCAGCAGAGTGAAAACAAAACAACTGCTCTGCTTGGGAGAAATCTTTAAACGGGAAACTCTCCAGAAGACGTTATTAGTGGCAAGCAGTGAGCTAGTAGATTTTGGGTGGGACTGTCTGGGGAGCGGAATAGGTCTGTTGGGAAAAATTACCCACATTCGGAGTTTACTGATTAAAGTGCAGAATAAGAACATTGTAAAGGCATGACAACTCGATGAGCGCATTACGGTAAGAAACGTTAGCGCAGTTGTTCTCCGAATCCAAGTAATGGTAAAAGCCTGTGTTGACCAACCTTTTGTTTTTTCCAGGTCATTTCTACGGAGGTTGATGATCCTGTTATCTGAGTTTATGTGGAAGCATACTAACCAGGCTCATCACCCACACCAGCAAACCGTTTGAGTAAATGTGGATTGGGGAGAAAAAGCGAGTGTTTGAAGTGTAGTCTTCACTGCTCAAACCGGAAACTGGGTAACACTTCATTTGGTGGGCCCTCTAGCCTGAGCATGATACCGCGAATGAACACTGTAGTTGCCTTCAGCAGACGTCAAACAAAATAAGTTTGCATGCTATTATCGTCAAAACTACAAAATGCAGAACACTTGAATCCGAAGCACTCCGAAAGACCGAGAAAACACTGGAGAACTACAGTGTGGATACGTTCTCGCGACAGTGACAGTTGTGAACTACGAAAACAGCTCTTTGAGAGTGTCTATCAACAGAGAAACGCGAGATCCCGTAGCAAATGAATACAACAGGAAACCAGTTTATATCTGACAACCAGCATTACTTTACAACCACAGAACGCAGCCTATGTGCGTCACCCGTATATGTGAAATGTTTTTTTTTCGAATACTGGCACTCCAAAAGCATAATAGTACTTCCAAAACAAGCGTAAAGAATGAGTAATTACGGATTATGTTCAACTCACTAGGCCAGTCCAGAGGAGCTGATGGTTTGGACGAAATTTTCGCAACACACACACACACCTAATTATTCGACGCCGGCTCGGCGCGATGACAACGATAATGTTGCTGCTTACATTCATACCAATGCAATCCGTACAGACTTGCTGAGGTTAGAAAAAATCTGCCATAAACATAAAAACGTCACCTGTCATCTGAAAAGGCCTACTGTCGACAGTCATGCATGTTTAACGATTACATGAAACGTGTGAGACCGGGGAGACTGTCGAGTCGGATAATACCGGAATCTAACACACAGTATATGATATTACTGAACTTCAGTGATTCCACGTCAAAGGAGAACTCACAACATCGTATTGGCGATATACCCATATCGGTAGAGTGGCAAAGCATTCGCCCGTCGCGGCTAGAACGTCACGCCGACACGGCAGACGCGGGTGACAGGGTTGTCGAATTCGGTAACGAAAAGGTCTGCCGACGCGATCAACCGCCCAATCCATAATGAGTTCTACATCTTCAGTAACAACATCATCTGGTTCGGGTCTGGCTCCACTGAGATGCGATCGCTTCTTGGGTCCAACTATGTTCGCAGTTTCTTCCTGTCCCACTACGTCCTGTTGCGTTTCTAGCATGCTCTCTGCTGCTCCCGTTGGAAGAGGACATTTGCTTGACAATTCCGGTGCACTGGTGTGTACAGAGTCAACATCCAACTCCTCGCCTGACTCAGCCAAACGAGAATTTGGTGATGAACACGGAGACGTAATTGATACAGTATTCACAGGTCCGAAGTGTCTCCAAGTACTCAGGCGCGAATCAAACATAGACAAAGGGTTGCCCGGGGGTACGAATCCAGTTGCTGAGTAGTAGGTCGACGAAGACGACGAAGAAGTTGAGTCTCTGCTATGGCGCGAACGACGGCGCGAGCGTCTGTAGGAAATGCGGAATTTGAAAATAGATCCAGAAGACATAAGACTACGAGATAAAAAGTTCAGCGTGAGTATTGTCAAGCGGGCTGTTGCCCGAGAACGTTAATCTGGGGATATGTTGAAAGAACAGGTTGCTCACCGGCGGACATTGGATGTCTCCGGAACAGGAAGAAGATCGGTTTCTGAAGCCTTTCTACGTATCGGACACGGGTCCATGCCAAAACGGGACCACGAACGAGGAACTAGACCCCAACCCAGCGGATTAGTAGCCATTTCCCGATCGACTGAAAGCTCCGGTAGGATGGTACCGAAACAAAGCAAAGGACTGTATAGGAAAGCAAAGTGAACTTTTTTGAAGATCTAAACCAGTTCGCGGGCAGACGTAAGCACATACACGGTAATTTCACTCAGCTAATTCATTTTTTACAAGTTTGTCAAGTAGTACACTTTGGGTGACCCATTCGATAAAGATGGCCTGTAGGCGATCCATGTACAGTTTGTAATAAACAAGTAGTTATGTTTTCGTTGACTCACTTATATGTAGTGACTCGGCTTGGGACAGAAAAGCCTCAAACGATGAAACAATTTTCTCAGATTGCGACCATTTTTAAGCAATTGAACAAACGGTCGAAGAGGCTACACAAAAAATCACATAGTGCACATAACGGGTTGTCGCCATCACCTGAATTCTTCATACATGGCCAATACATTTTAAGATTTGTGGGAACACAATGGGGCTTTTTAAAGCGCACTTTTGGAGGGGATGCTACCCACACTCTGATGTTGGTCGACCAGACCCGTCAACTTTTGAATAAGAGAAAACCAGATACAGTAATCCGTCTTCACAAATGCCTAAGAAATACCGTGAAAAAACGGAACCGCTTCCGTGACTCCGTTCCAGAAAAACTGAAGGAAATTATTTTAACGTACTAACTCTCATCGCGAGTGACTTTGTTGATCCTGATTCGTTGCCGACCGACGAAGATCGCATGCATGCCACCTTCTTCGTCCTCACTCGGAATGTGGATCGCAACCAAATCTGCAGTCGTGCCGACAAATTCGACCAGATCCTCCAGCGAAGCGACGTTGTCAAAACTAAAACGTCGGTAGATAGTAGATACATGAGAGAGAGAGACCACTATTTACTGAAACATTTAGACATTTGTGAACAACCCTGGTGCTTAGACAAAGCATTAGAAGCAAATCATTCCAGATAAGCCAGGATGATTTGAAATCATGAGAAGCCAACTCATAGTGAAAAATCGGGAGGGAATTTACACCTCTAGTAAGGGACACTGGAACTAGAATAATTTTTGAAATGCCGATGTACACAAGATAGCATCAATATGCATCTGGATTGGAGTGAGGCATTCGATAGCGCATAATACCGATGCAGACCTCAACCAAGAGGGATGGGTAACAGGGTGAGTCAAGTTTCCACAAATTCGGACGGGTTTCAACTGGCGAATTTCACTTTTGGCCGATAACTAGCGACAAGAACATCTTAACTCACCCAATCCTCGTCTTTTTCTTGTACAATCCTACACCTTCCCCTCTGATTAAACCACTCCAGCAAAATAAACGAAAGTGGAATCTTTTGAGGGTGGCATGAATGACATTCAGGAGGTGGACCAAAAGTGCTCTTTGAAAAAGCTATCTGTCCGGACGATCAGCTCCTCAGCGCTGATATTATTCACCGATCTTTTCGTCCAGAATATGGCTGGGCGGAAAAGGGTTGTACGGGTCACGTTAGGATGTGTCTAGGATTAGTCCCGACTGCCGAACGTACCGAGTTCCAATTGTGCTGGATGTGAAATTAGAGCGCAGCGCTCAGATCAGCAAACTAGTTTGTACAATGCCTGTCAGGTCTCTGAATAGCAATATGGGAAATCTTGGATACGCACTAATCTTGACGGTTTTGAAAACTGAGTCTCGTTAGCCAACCTGATCGGAACTGGCGTCTATGTGAAACACAGTAACAGGTGTAGCACGTAGTACAAACAATAAAAACACGTAAAAGCAGACTTAAAGGTGAGTGGTAGTTCGACATAACACAGCACATAATGCTGGCTTCGGTTTTAGGATTAAACAGTCTGATGAAACCCATAGCGGACCCAGAAGTAAATCTACCAAAGGAGACCGCTTTGGTACTTCCAAAAAACGTTTTCTTGCAGGTAGCACCAAAGCGGATTAAACACTTGGTGACATTAAACAGAAACTAAGGACCGCTCTGGATTGCCTTTTTCCGGCCGCATAACTGAGAATAACCTGAGAGTTTGGATTTGAGACTTCAAGCCAGCCAACCAGGAGGAGCCGGTCTTTCTGCATCCCACGTCACACATCACCTCACCTACAGTTGCCGTGGCAGCTATGTTGACAGAACAGACCGCCGTCTGTCCCAGAGAATAGCTGGGACTGTATAGCAACCATCTGATTGTTGGTCTATACCCAAAACTCAACATTACCGACTGCAAAGCACCTTCTGAGCACAGATCATCTCACTGAACCAACACTCAGTAAACTCTTACGCGATCAACCCGATACCAGTATTCGGTGAAACTGCTGTTTAAGCCAAATCAACCAGCTCCATGGGCTCAAAAGACACTGACTCAAAATATCTGTCTACCGTGACACGAACCTCGGAGTAATCTTCATTTCCTGAACGTAATCACAGTTTATCCATTGTCGATTTGAATTAATAGTGGTAGTGACATAACTGAATGCCACTGAATAATAAGAGTTGCTCAGTTGTAGCATCCTTTATACACCTAGGTGCCATACCATCCAAAAGAAGCATGGAGATTGAGATAATATCAGCTTATCCAAGCCCAAAAATGAGCAGTCAAGATGTAGAGGTTCCAACCACGGACCTTCCGATCAGCAAGTTCGCGCCTTAATCACTGAGTTCATCTATTGCACATCTGCATCCAAATTTACCAAATTTGCACGCAATTGTCTGGTAAAATGGAAGAGAGGCTACATCAGAATATCAACCCCTTCTTGAAGTTCTCGTTATGAACAAACGAATTTGGCGCGCTGCTAAAAGCTGACGCTTGAGCAACCGAACGTAACGAACATCAGATTACAAATGCCAATAGTTCTAGTTTTGTGCAACCGGCTAAGACATCCTTATTGTTGCTTTTCATGCGGTGTTTAAAACTTAAACGTCTCGTGCAGATGATTCACTATTAAACGGACTGGTATTTTACTGAGACGAACAGGACCTACAAGAAACATCCTAACGGTTGACCATACAGAATGACACAGAACTTGTGAAAATGACATAAGCATGATAAACCTATAAGGGGTGTAATAAACACCCCGAAACCGAACACAGCACGATGTCTAAGACGTGCATTATTGACTGGAAGAAGCTACACTTTGCTCACATGTACCCAAACAACCTGTCAATATATCAAACTTTATGTTCCTAATCAGTTATCTGGATGTCATCCGACAAAAGGGTACTATAACTTCAATGGCGTTTTTTACTCTCGCTGGGCAATCACATATCAACTGCTCTGAAAGTCGATTAGCTACAAGGTGCATTCCGATATGAGTGAGGCGCGCCCGATACTCACTACCTTTGTTCATCATTCATGTCATTAACTGCGGGACCGTAAGTCCGTGACCATATGTGTAACTGAGAATTCTCGAACGTTTTAGATCTTATTTGCCGAATGGAATAGTTAAGGGACACTACTGAAACAAAACATCTTCACCCGAAATCCAGTCTTGCATATCAGATGGAGCAAAAGTAACCTACCAACCAGGCAGAAATATTAAAGGTAATTTCTCTCGGTTGACCTTTTGCAAAAGGTTTGATTCGAATGGCCCATAAGGCGTCAGAGGAAGGGATTGTCCTGGTACCAAAATCACTCCGGAACGATAGAATGCAAACATGTGGGTTTCGCTGCCTGGTTCCAAGAAAGTGCGACCAGAAACTTGCACAAGATTCACACCTAAGTACTTCGGGTTACGGCTAAAAACAGATGTATAGGAATGTTACCTTGTGGAGACCCGGGAGAGCCCTGTCGAAATTAATCTCGGAGGCGTAGATTTCTTCGCCCCTTGGGGCTGAGGTTTCATTTTCGTCGGAAACGGAGGGGACAAGTGCTCCGTCCCACATGCTGGAACCTAGCCTATGAGTTCGTTGTGACGCGATGACAACGTGTGGCACTGAAATGAAACGTTTCAGATAGGCATTTATACCGATGAGAAATAAAAATAACATTTCAAAAAGACAAGCGGAAGTTTACTATGTCTGACCTTTCATACTTACTAGACGCTGCCTGGGTTCAACAGAGACAGCGAGCTAGTAACGGTAAGATTTGTGGGCAACTGCCTGGAATACGAGCCACTCGGACTACAATAAGCACCCATACATGTGTAAATTAGACGTGCAGGACATACGGGAATGTTAGTGAGATCAATGCCTAAGCCAGTTGTGCCGTAATTTGCAAGGACAGAACACTATATTTTCGTAGAAACCACCTCTAAGGGACATTTGGGTAGAAGCCGGCATGTTGCGACCTTTGTCCGTTTTGTGACATTGGGGAATGCCGTCAAATTTAAAAACGTATTTGAGACTCAATAGAATAATGTTGCAGTACCTTTTGAAAATCTACAGACCCGAGAACAATAAGTGACGCGCCTGTAAGTCGCACGCACAACGTCTTATTTCTCGATCAAGCCGACAAGTGTGCCAGAAATCAGTGGAGACTTCCCATGCCTACAGTATCTAGCAAATCATCATGTCAGACTACTTTGTGAAACCCACTGGTCTGTATTGGTGCCGTCAAACAAAGTTGCGAAACGTAATTGTACATAAGCCGTTTTGTCCATCATCATCATCATTATCAACAGCATGACAGCAGTACTGAATATCGGTGCTTCGCTGCCGTACGACCATGATTTAGTGGAAAGCCTTATTGTGAAAAAAAATAAATAAAGGTGGGCAGAGAAGAGATTTACCTCCAGACAACCATTCAGGCGATCTGCATAGAAACTGACAACAAGGACGCCATTGAATTCGATTAGCAGCAATATCCTGCAACCTCACAAAAGAGGTGAAGTGGGGATCACGCGGTTCCCATACTGGTAGGCGAGCAGCAACGATAGCACTCACACCTTTTGTTATCTCTTTCATACCCCTCTGTCTGGTCAAGGACTGACCATCTCTATGCTTTCGACACTCTGAATGGAGCACGGAAAACAGCACACTCTTCGGCAAACATCATCATCATCACTGTCAGCTGTAATAACCGCGTACTCGTCGTGCAGTGGTTGTAGCTGCCGCAGTTTTGTTCACCGACGATTTGGGGGGAGGGGGAGGTAGCTGTGCATTGCAGGCGGCAGCTGATAAATTGGTGCATAAATCCAGCATTGTCAGTGGGGTGTCAAGTGAAGGGGGGTTGGAAAAGGAGCTATGCATTGAAGGCAATAGATTGGACGCATGAGCGTCATTGAGGGCGCGACTGTGCCATATCTGACGCCTCTGGCTACTTCCCCCCTTCACGTGGTTGTACGAAAAGAGCCCTTCGAGGAAGTCGGTCGACTGACAAACGCAGCACGTGGCCAAGCAAGCGCAACCTATGCGGTGTGATCAGTTCATCTATCGAGGGTGAGTTATTTCTCCCCAATACCATTCGACGTACTTCAGAATTGCTGATCCGGTGTTCCCACCAAATTCGGGCAATGCTCCGAAGAAATCGATTGTCAAACACTGAGTCTTTTGATGTCCTCGACGCGCAGCGGCCAGGTTTCTGACCCATATAGTAATATGGAGCGCACCGCAGCATTGTAAACTCGACCCTGACAGAGAAGCTGATGTCACGCCTACGCCACAGGTGACGTAGGTTCGCGAAAGCTGCTCTGGCCTTCTCAATCCGGATGGAAATTTCATCTTTCGCGAGACCACCGGGACTGATACAGCTGCCCACTACCTCAATCGGTTCATCCGCAAGCATGAGGTTAGGGTTCGGGCCCACCCAGTCTTGCAGTAGCACTTTATACTTTGTAGGTGTGAAGCGCATGCCGAACCGAGAGGCAGAATTATTTAGATTATTTATTATTGTTTGCATTACCGGAAGAGCTATGTCGTCTGCGTACTCGATATCTGTGAGTGGAGGCCCAGGGAGAACTTCGACCCCACAGGCATTAGAGGCCGGTAGTGAGTCTTCCATGATCGTATAAATGACGAAGTTGAAGAGGAAAAGTGAAAGAGGACAGTCCTGTCGGACACCACTGGATGTGGTGAACTCAGGAGAAAGCTTTCCGTAGACCTTCACACGGCCACGGGAGTTGGCGTACA